TGTTTATTATTAGATGCAAATTTATTTAAAACTACTATCTGCAGAAGACAAGCAAATTCCTTTATCTTCCTTCTACTCATTTATATTTATTCAATAAGATCCTTGTTTCTGGGCTGGGTGCAGTGGCTCACGCCTGTAATCCCAGCACTCTGGGAGGCCGAGGTGGGTGGATCATGAGGTCAAGAGATCGAGATCATCCTGGTCAACATGGTGAAACCCCGTCTCTACTAAAAATACAAAAAATTAGCTGGGCACGGTGGCGTGTGCCTGTAATCCCAGCTACTCAGGAAGCTGAGGCAGGAGAATTGCCTGAACCCAGGAGGCGGAGGTCGCGGTGAGCTGAGATTGTGCCACTGCACTCCAGCCTGGGTAACAAGAGCAAAACTCTGTCTCAAAAAAAAAAAATCCTTGTTTCTTATATTTTAACAGGATGTATGTGAAAGAAATGGACTGTTGGCTCCTACCCATATGTTCTCTTTGAGTCAAGCTTCTCATACAGAAAGAAAAATAATTGGCCAAACAGGGCCTAGGTCACCTAACCTTGAGATTATTTACAGAGAAACATCAAGAAAATTTAGTCAAGCTGACTGAGGACCAAACAATTAAGCAATAAATTAATCCAAAAAGACATATCAAAATATATATATTTGAAGTGTTATAACTTCATGACACAAAATTTTTGAACCTCTAAAGCTACCCGTCTAGTTTTGGGGGGTTGTTTCTATTTCTGTCTAGTAATTCAGCTAAGTATAATTTGTTATAAATCTTGCAGAGAACATATACAGGTAGAATTATAAGGAAAAGTAGTGATGAATTGAGAAGAATGATGCAATATGTAGTACCATGAATTTTCATGAATATGTTGGCAATTGCCTTCATTTGCTCAAGATGCCAAAACAAAATACCATAGACTGGATGGTGAAAACAGCAGAAATCTACTTTCTCACAGTTTGAGAGGCTGGGAAATCCCGAATGAAGGTGCCAGCTAATTTATTTCCTGGTGAGGCCTTTCTTTCTGGCTTGCAAACAGCTGCCTTCTTGCTATGTCCTCACAAAAAGGAGAGAGACAGACAGAAAGACAGAGAGAGAGAGAGAGAGAGAGAGAGAATGAGCTCTCCAGCATCTTCTCTTACAAGGGCACTAATCCCATCATGATGTCCCACTCTCATGACCTCATCTAATTACCTCCTAAAGGCCCCATTTCTAAATACCATTACATTTGGGAATAGGGCTTCACTTGTGCATTTTGAGGAGACAAAAGCATTCAATCCATAACAGCCATTTAAAAACGATGTTCTATTCCAGCTCTAGGTAAAATGGAGTAAGCACATTCCACCCTGATTTTTTTTTTTTTTGAGACAGAGTATCCCTCTGTCACCCAGGTTGGTGCAATCTGAGGCTACAGATGTGCACCACCACACCCAGCTAGGTTTTCTATTTTTAGAAGAGACTGGGTTTCACCATGTTGGCCGGGCTGCTCTGGAACTCCTGACCTCAGGTGATCTGCCTGCCTCAGCCTCCTAAAGTGCTGGGATTGCAGGCATGAGCCAATGTGCCTGGCCCACCCTGTCTTTTTCATTAAATACAGTTATAAAACCTAGCATGAAACAGCTACTTGAGGACACCGGAAGATAAAAAGTAGCAAGCGAATTGGGGAAAAAGACTAGAATTTAAAGTACTACTGAACGAGCGGTGAGTCTTCTGGATTTGTTTTTTCCCTATTGGAACTCGTCTAGAAATAAGGCAGTCTGAAACTCAGAATAGGCACAGACAGACAGAACCTCAGCAGAAGCCCTATAGTTCTGGCTCACAGAGCAGGCAAAGTTTTTCCTAATACTTAGAGAGTGTGGGAGAAATTTGCCGTTTTTTTTTTCTTTTGTTCTCCATTCTCTAGTGCTCTAGGTCCCTAGAAATCTTGTCAACCAAACAGTGGTAATGACAGCGATGTCAGCAGGTGGCCACAGGCTCCAATATCTCTGAGGGAGGGGAACCTTCTTCTGTGGAGAAGTGAGGGCCTTGGGAGGGTGGGAAAAACACTAGTTGCTTTTTTCCTCTCTGTCCTTCCACTGGACATAGTGTAGTCCCAGAAAGTACACACCAGAGCAGGGTAACTAAAGCATTAGGTTTCTGGCTGTGGGAATGAAAGAGGAAGTCCCAGGAATAAGAAAGCCCTAGAAACCATAAAGAGGGAGGAACTCATGAAAGTAGTAATTAAGTTGATAATAACGTCTTAGACTCACCTTCAAGTTGCACAAGGATGGATCTGATCACAAACAGCATATGTACCAAAAAGACTTTGAGACTGAACTAAAGGACAGTCTACTATATAGGTCCACCACCCTCTACCACTACTGACTGGTAGTACACATAGAAGATAGATCCAAATAGCATGGAAAGCAAAATATTCTTTCTGAAAACAGAATTGACATTGAAACTACAACTGACAGAAAGTTGGTTGAAACTTTTGGCTTAAACCAAAACAGATCTATTGCTTCCTTAAACAAAAATATCAGTATTCTCCATAAGATTTAAATGAAACCCAGGGTCTTATAATGTCTTAAATGTCTGGGATACAATTCAAAATTATTCAGTGTAAAATAACCAGGAAATTCTCAACTTACATAAGAAAAGATAATTAAGAGAGGACAATGACAGGATGCTATAGATGCTGGAATTAGCTGGCTATAGCTTTAAAATAGTTATTAGAAAAGTGTAGCAGAACAAAAGTTCCTGAAAGAAATGCAAAAAAAATGAAAATAAAAAATAACAATAAAATTGAAATTCAGAGCTAAAAAATATAGTAACAAAAATAACTCATTGTATGGGCTCAATCACAGAACAGAGATGAGAAAGGAAAGAGTTGTTGAATTTGAAGATGAGGAAACAGAAATTGTCCAATCTGAACAACAGAGAGAAAAAAATATTAGGGGGAAAAAAAACTGTTTCTAAGGGAATGGTGGGACACCACCAAAAGATCTAATATTTGTGATATTGGAGATCCAGAAGAAGAGAGGAAACGATATAATATAATAACAAATATTTAAAAGGATAATTAAAAATTTCTCAAATTTGGTAAAAAACATAAACCTAACAGATTCAAGAAACTCAGAGAATACCAAACAGGTTGTAACCAAAGAAATTCATGCCCAAACACATCATAATCAAACTGCTAAGAACTGAAACAAGAAAAATTCTTGAAAGCTGGTAGAAAAAGAAAAAGATATTATTTACAGGAGAGAAACAATTTGAATGTCTGCAGATTTCTCAACAGAAACCATGGAGGGTAGAATGAAGTAGAACAACTGAAAGGGCTAAAAACAAAAACCTGTCAACCCAGAATTCTATTTTTAGCAAAAATATCCTTCATGATTAAATTTGAAATAAACACATTCTTAGGGGAGGAAAACAAAGAGACTTTGTTGTCAGCATACGAATTACTAATGGAAGTTCTTCAGACAGAAGGAAATGACACCATAAGGTAACTTAAACATTAGGAATAAAGGAGAAGCCAGGCATGGTGGTAGTCTTAGCGACTTGGGAAGCTGAGGTGAGAGGATCACTTTTAGCCCAGGAGTCTGAGGTTACAGTGGACTATGATTGCACCACTGCTCTCCAACGTTGGTGAGAGAACAAGACCCTGACTCTAAAAAAACAAAACAAAACAAAAACACGGAATAAAGAAGGAAAAACATAAAGGGTAAATATCGAGGTAAATAGATAGCTCACTTCTTAGGTTCCTTAAAATTTGTTTCATGTTTGAAAGCAAAACTGATAACATTAATGGAGCTTTCTGTATATGTAAACGTAATACATAAGACAACTACAACATAAAGAGGGAAAGGTAATGGGATCTAAATGACTATAACATTTCTATATCCCCCTTGAAGTGATAAAATATTGATTCTAAGTAGGTGGTATGAAATTAAACATTTATATTTTGATCCCAATAGTTAAGAACTTTTTTTAACAAAGACATATAGTCAAAAACTAACAATAGATAATACAGAATTTTAAAAAATACACAAATGCCCCAAAATAATGTAGGAAAGAGAAAACAGATAAACAAAAGGAAATAAAAGGGAACCAACAGAAAACAATTAAATAAAATGGTAGGCCTAAATGTGAATATATCAATTATTACATTAAATGGAAAAATCTAAATATACCCACTAAAATAGACTGGTAAAATGTATGCCAAAACATGACTGAGTTATGTATGTGTTGTAAAAAAAAGAACTCAATTCAAAATATATTTATATAAGTATGTTAAAAATAGAAAAATATATACCATGGGAACACTAACCAAAAGGAAGTGAAAATAGTTATATTAATATCAAAGTAGACTTCAGAGCAAAGAAAATTACTGGAGATAAAGAATGGCATTATAAACTATGTGAATCATAACCTGATATATCAGAATTGAAAAGAGAAACAGACAAATCCACAATTATATTTGGAAACATCAATACTCCTCTCTCAGGAATGGACAGAAGCAGAAAACAGAAAGTCAGCAAAAATATAGAAAAATTGAACCATACCATCAACCCAACTGTACCTAATAGGTGTTTATAAAATACTCCACCCAACAATAGCAGAATACATACTTTTTTTTTCTTTTCATTAATTTTTAAATTTCACACTGAGAACAGAAATACATACTCTTTTAAATGTATATGGCATAGAACAGTCATCAAGACATAATCCAGCCTAAAAAAGAATTGAAATCATACAAAAATGTTCTTTAATCATAATAGAATTAACTTCAAAATAAATAAAAGTAAAATTTCCAATCATAAACATTATATTTCTAAGTATAATGACATTGGTAAAAGAGGAAGCCAAAAGGGAGAAATATTTTGAACTGAATGAAAACAAAAACACAACATATGAAAATTTGTGGGAATGGGATTTAGCCAAAGCAATCCTTAGAGGGAAATTTGTGTTTATAACATGAAATACTAACATAAAAAAAAGAAAGATCTCACGTCATTGATCTTTAAGAAACTAAAAAGTAAATCATAATAAATCCAAATCAAGCAGAAGGAAAAAAATTTTAAAAGCTAGAAGCAAAAATGAATGAAATTGAAAACAGAAAATCAATAGAGAAAACTTAATGAAACAAAAAACTGGTTCTTTGAGACCAATAAAATTCACAAATCTCTTGCAAGATTACAAAGAAAAGGCACAACTTAACTATATCAGGAATGAAAGAGAAGATATCACTACAAATGCAATGGTATTCTAAAAATAAGAAAATACTATGAACTACTAAACACACATAAATATGACAACCTTTGTGAAATAGAATAATTCCTCAAAAGCAAATCAACAAAGCTCACATAAGAAAAATTTAATAACCTGAAGAATCCTATACCTATAAAGAAATTGAATTCATAGTTTAAAACCTTTCAAAAAAATTTTCCAAGCCCAGATGGTTACACTATCAAATTCTCTCAAACATTTAAAGATGAATTAATACCAATTCTACACAAATTCTTTCCAGAAAATGGAAGAGGAGGGAACACTTACCAATTTATTTTTATAAAACCAGCATTATTCTGATACTAAAGCCAAAGACAGGACAAGAAAAAACTATAGGCCAATATCTGTCTTGGACATTGACACAAAAATCTTCAACAAAATATTAACACATTGAATCCAGCAGTATATAAAAAAGATACACCATGCCAAAATGAGATTTATCTTGAAAATGCAAAGATCAATATTCAAAAGATCAGTCAATGTAATCCACCATATTACTAGAATAGAAAGGAAAAGCTACATAATCATGTCACTTGATGCAGAAAAAGTATAACAGGCTGGGCTTAGTGGCTCACACCTGTAATCCCAGCACTTTAGGAGACTAAAGTGGGTAGATACCTCAGGTCAGGAGTTTGAGAACAGCCTGGACAACATGGTGAAACCCTGTCTCTACTAAAAATACCAAAACTAGCCAGGCGTGGTGGCACATGGCTGTAGACCCAGCTGCTTGGGTAGGTGAAGAAGGAGAATAGCTTGTACCTGGGAGGTGGAAGTTGCAATGAGCCAAGATCGAGCCATTGCACTCTAGCCTGGGTGACAGAGCGAAACTCCATCTCAAAAAAAAAAAAAAAAAAGTAAAAGTATTTGACAGACTTCAACATTCATTCAGGTTTAAAAAAAAATTCTCAGTAGATGAGAGTAGAAGGGGATTTCCACAACCTCATAAAGGTCAGGTACAACAAAAAGCCAACATCTAATATCATATTACATGTGGTGAAAGATTGAATACTACCCCTTAGGGTCAGGAACAAGGTAAGAATGTCTTCAGTCACCATTGCTATTTGACATTATATTAGAATTTTATTCAGTGTAATAAGGAAAGAAGATAACAGACTTATAGACAGGGAAGGAAGAAATAAAAATGTCTCTATTTGCAGATGACATGATTGTTTACATAGAAAACCAAAGAAGTGATTTTTTAAAAACTCCTAGAACTGAGTTTAGTAGGGTCACTGTACAAAAGGTAAACACACACACAAAATTTTACATCCATATACCACCAATGAATAACTGGAAACTAGTATTTTTAAACAATACCACTTATGATAACTCCAAAAATACTGAAGTACTAAGGTACATTTTTTTTTCTTATTTCTCAATTAACAAGTATATGCACCTAATAAATAAGGTATGAATTTAACAAAACATGAATAGGATGTGTATGTTGAAAACTACAAAACATTAATGAAAGAAATCAAAGAAGATCTAACTATAAATAAATGGGGAGATATACTATGTTCAGAACTGGAAGAATACCAGGTACTCAGGAATCCGAGGAAGGGAAAGTGCTTGAGCCCAGGAATTCTGGGTTGTAGGTTGCTCTGCTGCTTGGGTGTTGGCACTAAGTTTGGCATCATTAGGGTGACCTCCTAGGGGTGGGGTACTCTTGGAGGAGTGAACCAGCCCAGGTAGAAAAGAGCAGGTCAAAATTCCCATGCTGATCAGTGGCAGGATGATGCCTGTGAATAGCCATTGCACTCCAGCCCGGGTAACATAGCAAGACTCCATCTCTGGAAAGAAAGAAAACTCAAGACTCAACCCATCAAACTAATGTATAATTTAATTCAATTCCACTAAATATCCCAACAGAATTCACAAAAGAATTTTTTAAAAATATAGCAAGCTGATGCTAAATTAATTTTAATTATATTTTAAAATTTTATATAAATTATAATTTTATAATTTAAAAATTTAAAATATAGCAAGCTGATTCTAAAATTAATAAAGAAATTTAAAATAATTAGAAAAGTCAAAATAAGTTTAAAAAAAAATAAGGTTGAAGAATCAAACTCCATGATTTTAAGCTGCACTATAAAGCTAGATTAATCAACACAATCTAGTATTGGTGAAAGGATAGATACTTAAGATCAGCAGAACAGAATAAACAACCTAGAAACAGTCCCACACAAACACAGCCCACTGCAGCCATGTTTTTTGTTGTAGCTGTTTGTTTGTTTTCTGAGATAGGATCTCACTCCGTTGCCCAGGCTAGAGTACAGTGGTACAATCATGGCCCTCCGCAGCCTCAATCTCCTGGGCTCAAGTGATTATCCCACCTCGGCTTCCCAAGTAGCTGGGACTACATGCCTGGGCCAACATACCCTGATAATTCTTTTTTAATTTGTTGTAGAGATGGCAGGGGTCTTGCTATGTTGCCTGGGGTGGGGGTGCTGAGGTAGGAGGATCGCTTGAGTCTGGGAGGTGGAGGCTGCAGTGATTACTGTAACTGTACTCCAGCCTGGGCAAGAGGGCAAGACCCTGTCTCAAAAAAAAAAAAAAAAAAAAGCCATAACAATTGATGTAACAAAAGTTTTGGGAATAAGGCATAATGTGTACAAATACAGGGTCTGGAATTAGATAGCTGAGATCTAATCCTGACTTTAGCACTTACTATTTAACCTTGAACAGGTTACTTAACTTCTCTGTGCCTCAGTACCCTTATCTGAGGATAATTATAGTACTTACTACACAGATTTGTTATGCGAATTACATGAGTTGATATGTGTAAAGCACCTAGAAGAGTAGCTGGCATATATTAAACACTAAAGTGTTGGTTAAATAAAATGCACCAGGTTCTTAACTACTTGTTAGTCACATTAACTTATGGGTATGCCGTATGACATTATAACTGAGTAAATAGCCAAATTATATTTGCTGTATCATAAGGAATTTAACATTTATTGGAAAATATGATACAAATTAAATCATAAGGCTCTGTACTTGAGTCTCTCCCTCAAAATTGTGACTGGTACAGCATGCAGGACCCAAACTCTAGTGAAGAAGAATAGGTTTTACAAACAACAAATTCAATAGGTATCAAAAGGGTGGTTACTAGCAAAAGGTAGCTAGTTTGATCTTAAATTGTGATGATAAATCTATAGTATCTACACAGGTCACACCACTCTTGAAGCATATATTCCATTCTAGTTTCACACTTAATTTAGTTACATCATCTGTGCAGCCTCACTGGCAAGAATAAAAATCGTGGATAAAAGTTCTAGGGGAAATTATTTAGGCTCAGTTAAAACAGAAAGTAGCACTGAAAGGTTCTCTGAACATGGAATGACAACTGGAGCAGTCAGTGAACCCTGTGTCACCAGAATGTTTAAATAAGTTCAATAACCACTTGGTGGGATAATTATGACAACAAACACAGTTATTTATCAAATGCTTATTGTGTCTGTCCTGGTTCCTTTACATAGCTTATATCCAATCTTCTCACCAACTCTATAATGCAGACACTATTCCTATTTTATAGGTGAGAAAACCAAGGCTCAGCGAGATTAAATAAATTGCCCAAAATATGCAGTCATTAAGTGGTAAAGCTGTGATTTAAACCAGGACCTCTAATTCTACAGCAAACATTCTTTCTACAATCCAAACTACCTTTGGTTGAAGACTCAATAACATTCAGTGTTCCTTTTAATCAGGAGAGTGTGTGATTTGTTGAAATTATATCTTCCTAGATACAGATCTAGATCTTCCCTACCCATTTCTATCCACTGGAACAAGTGTCTTTCTTAAGAAAAAAAAAGAGGCACATGCCTTAACATTCTTAAGTTTGAGGTTGGTTTGTTACTTCTATGAGAGAAGTGTTACAAGCCATCATACTACTTACTATGTTAATAGACAATGAAATTAATAATAAATTGGATCATGCTGAACAGGTATGGAGTTTCTTGTTCCTGAATTTACTTTCTAGAGAGTCGTATTTAAAAAGTAACAAAAAAGAGCTAAAATGTTATTTTTCTTAATAAAAGTAGTAAACGAAAATACAAATAGAGATAAATCTATGTCCTTACCACTCTACTCTTTCCCCTTGGCTAATTCTCAGTTAAACATGATTCATTCAGCACTATAAGACAGGGAAAAAATATAACATGATTCATGAGAATCTATGTGAGTGTTTTAGAATTTGTTACCGTAATCTCTCACCAACTGAGAGTAGGGATAATTACATTCCTAAAAGGTGCCATGTTAGGTAAAACCTCCATTGGCAAATTCAAGAAAATAGGGAATTTGTAAGACAATAAAGCAATACAGTTGGTAATAAAGCAGAAAAGAATCTTCTCCTTCAGTTGTTCATGAGCTCATATTCTGAAAAATCATCATTGCTGTGAAAGATAGAATTTATTGATGTTATCCATACTTCAGCTTTTGATCTGGCCCTTATTATACTGCTATTTCATGCTGCTTGCCTTTGCTTTCTCACTGGTATCACATCTGCAAGCCTTGGCAACATTCTTAGTGATCAGCTGACCCTTCCATAGATGAAGGGCATGATTTGTTTTTAGGCCCAGTATCCTACTGTTATTCCTCACTCATTGTATGTGGAGAGTTGAGGGTGGGGGCAACATTTGACCCTTTCTTTCATAAGATATTTCTCTGCAGTATGTGATGCTGTTTGATAGCCTTTCACCCACAGTAGAACGAACTTCTTTCAAGATTGCAGTCAATTTTCTCAAAAACTGTCACTGCTTTATCAACTATGTTGATGTAATATTCTAAACATTTTGTTATTTCAACAATGTTCCCAGTATCTTAACCAGGTGAAGATTCTATCTCAAGGAACCAATTTCTTTGCTCATTCATAAGAAGTAACTCATCTGTTCAAGATTTATCAGGAGATGGCAGCAATTCAGTCACATCTTCAGGATCCACTTCTAATTTTAGTTATCTTGCTATTTATATCACATCTGCAGTGACTTCTCCACCAGTCTTGAACTCCTAGAAATCATGTAGGAGGGTTGGAACCAACTTCTTCCAAACACTTGTTAATATTAATATTTTGACCTCCCATAAATTATGAATGTTCTCAGTGGCATTTAGAATGGTGAATCCTTTCCAGAAGGTTCTCAGTTTACTTTCCCCAGATTCCCCATCAGCAGAATCACTATCTATGGTAACTATAGCATTATAAAATATCTTTCTCAAATAATAAGATTTCAAAGTTAAAATTACTGTTTAATCCATGGACTGCAGAATAGATGATGTGTTAGTAGGCATGTAAACAACGTTCTGCTGTACATCTCCATCAGAGCTCTTGAGTGACAAGGTGCATTGTCAATGAGCAATAACATTTTGAAATGAATCATTTTTTTTCTTAACAGTAGGTCTCAATAGTGAATTTAAAATAGTGAATTTAAAATATCACTATTGAGACCTACTGGCTGGGTACAGTGGTTCAGGCCTATAATCCCAGCACTTTGGAAAGCCAAGGTAGGCAGATCACAAGGTCAGGAGATAAAGACCATCCTGGCCAACATGGTGAAACCCTGTCTCTACTAAAAATACAAAAATCTGCTTGGCATGGTGGCACATGCCTGTAATCCCAACTACTCAGGAGGCTGAGACAGGAGAATCGCTTGAACTAGGGAGTTGGAGGTTGCAGTGAGCCTAGATTGTGCCACTGCACTCCAGCCTGGTGACAGAGCAAGACTCTGTCTCAAAACAAACAAACAAATAAACAAAAAAAATTCAGCAATAAAATAAAAATAAACAAGCAAACTATATATATATATATATATATATATATATATATATATATATATATATTCAGCAAACCATGCTGAAAACAGATGGGCTATCACCCCAGCTTTGTTGGTCCATTTATAAAGCACAGGCAGAGTAGACATAGCATTAACTCTTAGGGCCCTAGGATTCTCAGAATAACTAATGAGCACTGGTTTCAACTTAAAGACACCAGTTGTATTAGCTCCTAACAAGAGAGTCAGCCTGTTTTTGAAGCTTTAAAGCCAGGCATTGCCTTTTCCTCACTAGCTATAAAAAATCCCAGATGGCATTTTCTTCCAATAAAAGGCTGTTTTGTCTACATTGAAAATCTGTGTTTAGTGTAGCCACCTTCATCAATGATCTTAGCTAGATCTTTGGGGTAACTTTCTGCAGCTTCTCCATTAGCACTTGCTGCTTCACTTTGCACTGACATGTTATGAAGAAAGCTTCCTTTGTTAAACCTCACGAACTAACCTCTGCTAGCTTCAAATTCTTCTGCAGCTTCTATTGCCTCTCTTAACCCTCGCAGAATTGAAGGCCTTACTCCAAATTAGGATATAGGAATGTGGTTGGTTGGATCTTCTACCCAGAGCATCTAAAACTTTCTCCATGTCAGCCATGAGGCTGTTTTTGCTTTCTTATCGTGCATATTCACTGAAGTAGCACTTTGAATTTCCTTTAAAAACTTTTCTAGGTCAGGCACAGTTGCTTTTGCCTGTAATTCCAGCATTTGGGAAGCCAATACAGGAGGATTGCTTGAGGCCAGGAGTTTGAGACCAGCCTGGGCAACAAAGTGAGACCCCCATCTCTATAAAAAATAAAAAAAGATCGGCCGGGTGCGGTGGCTCAAGCCAGTAATCCCAGCACTTTGGGAGGCCGAGGCGGGTGGATCACGAGGTCAACAGATCAAGACCATCTTGGTCAACATGGTGAAACCCCGTCTCTACTAAAATTACAAAAAATTAGCTGGGCATGGTGGTGCGTGCCTGTAATCCCA